AGTGATATGACCAATAAATATCAAGTGATTTGCGTGACTCACACCAAAATGACATGATTTTCTAATGACAAGTTATTTCTGTTTTTTTTTTCATTTGCCAAAATGTCGTCTGAGGGTGAAGACGTTCTTGTTGCCATAAATTTAGTAAATTATTTAAAATACAATCTAGGTTCTACTGTGCGCAAGTACTAGGTCCATCCATTTTGGCGTAAAAATTGCTATTCCCGTGGTGTATATTCCGTATTTAAAGAGCTAGATGATCCTGATCGTTTTAAAAGATTTTATAGAATGGAAAAATCGACATTTGAAGAGTTGGTTAGGTTAGTTGGAGCAGATATTCAGAAAAATACTTTTTACTTTGTAGCACACGTCATCAACCTATCGACACCTATGCACTTCTCCACGTGACAAATGACAAAAAGTACTATAAGCTCTATTATTTTGCGCAACAAGTAACAACAATATTACACATGATCTAACATTTCGAATTGGTGAGCGCGATTAAGTGATTTTCCGTTATAATTATAAAGAACATTTCAAGAATGACACGTTACTAATACGTTATTTGTCATATCACTCGTCATGTTACTTTGGTGGGCGCTGCACCTTAGTGTTATAATGTGTCATACTGGTTATCACGCGGGTCTCGAGATTTCGGTTAGGTACCTAACCTAACCAGCGGACGGGTTTCGACGCGTGCATGGGTACAATGTGTCTCACGGTGTATTCTTAACTCGCGTAAACATTTTTTTCGGATCTTGTAGTTTTACAGTTGTCGCCGAAATTCTAAATCGTCTTGCGCAAATGAGTTTTTTATGTACCTTAGAAAACTTTCAAAAACACATAGGTCGCGTGAACTAGACGCTATCGTTCTCCGTGTAAAAGCCTTTTTCGGGTAGGTTCTTTGCTCCAAGTGATCTGATATTGCACATCCTACTGTTACGCGCCTCCATAAACACACTCGATCGTTTGTGTTCGACCGCATTTTACGTGGATCTATCGCGGAGTTCTGGCCGTGGTAAACGACGATTCGGTGGTGCCGAAAATCGCGATTTCTGTTAAAGCGCTGCGTGCACTCCGCTCGTTCGGACGAGCTGATGATTCTGGTTATATTTCCCGAATCATGATGATACGACACCGATAGGTCGAGTTTGGACAACGAGCACCTGTGCGTGTGGCGCATCCCTTGGTGGGGGTTAAACTTT